TTGGAATTTAGATGCACTCTTATTGATTGTGCTTGGCCGTACATGTTCATATCCTTGAAGATGTATCATGGGGGTGCTGCAACCTAGAAGACACAGGAATCCCACAACATTTGATTGCACCTATGGAGAACCTATACTTGGACCATGAAACAGTCATGAGAACAGAGCAAGGAAACACTGCATGGATCAAAATGAGGAAAGACTTGCAGCAAGGATACATCCTGTCTCCATACTTTTTCAATCTATATGCAGAACAGATTATTCAGGAGGCTGGACTTTATGAGGAAGAACATGACATCAAGATTGGAGGAAGACTCATCAACAACCTGAATTATGCAAACAACACAACTTTGCTGGCTGGAACTGAGGAAGACCTGTGAAGGTAAAGGACTGTAGTCTTCAATATAGATCAAAACTCAATGTCATAAAACAAAGATTCTCCTCTGGTTTTGTAATAATGAGTGGTGACACTAAGCCAATTGGCAAGACCATGACAGACGGAGAGGAGACTGAAGTTGTTAACAATTTCAGCTTTCTCAGCTCTTGGCACCAGCAGTCAGGAAATAAAAAGAAAAATTACATTGAGAAACTTTGTTGTCAGGCGCCTATCCAAAATACTAAAGAGCAACTTGATCAGTCTGGAGACTAAGGCACACCTGATTCAGGATATGGTCTTCACTATTACTTTCTTTGCATCAGAGAGCTAAATAATGACTAAGGATGTCAGAAAGAGAATCTTTGAGCTGTGGTGGTAGAGAAGAGTATTGAATATACTATGGACCGACAAGAGAACCAACAGGTCTGCCCTAGAGAGGGTGAAACCAACCTGATGATAGGCAAAATTTCTGAGGCTTCATCTCACATACTTTAGCCATGTAGCCAAGAAGGATTAGTCTTTGAAGAAGGACATCAGGCTTGGAAGAGTGAAGGGACAGTGCCAGAGAGGAAGATCTCGGGTGAGATGGATTGACACAGTGACTGGGGCAATAAGGGTAGGTGTGTCAGAGACAGCGAGACTGGTTCGGATAAGGCAAGATTCAGAACTGTTGTACACAAGGTCGCTAAGGGTCACCAACTGTTGTACACAGGCAACTCAATAGCACATAACAAAAACAACTTACTTAGACCAAGTAGTTGTCTTGGTAGAGCAAGG